TAATCGGAGCAAGGCCACGAGAACTCAGACATCTATTGTATATTGAAGAGTCAACGAACCGAAATGGTTTTAGACGATCATTCTTTATTAAAGCGTGCAGCAATATCAGATACATCATTCAAGACAGCCAATAATACGGAGAACAAAATCCCCTGAGAGTTCCGTAGAGTTTGTTTAATGATTCACACGATTTAAATTTAAATCAATCAATTTCATCGTTCGACGATATACTGTGTACCGTTCCTCTATTTATGATTTGTATTAAATTATACACGTGAGATATCGGTTCGAGCGCGATTAGTCGCGCTTTTTTGAAATCGGATCAGTTTATAGTGCGGAAATTAAAAAAGGCGACTCTCACGCTAAGACAATGGGCGGCTCGGGATGAAAATAGTTTTGCAATTTTCAAGGTGTGTGGGCCTGTACGAGAGCATCCAACTTTCTCTCCCTTCCCTCCTTTACTCACTCATTTCTGCTTCCCTCGTGCCTTGCTACAAATTACACCGACAAACGATCAAAGAACAAGGGAGCTGTGCTCTTCTCATTGAAGAATTAAAATCTCATCAGATCTTTTCTGCGAAAGAAATGGGCGCGCGTTTATGCGAATAATTGAGAAAATATATAGGGAAGATTTTTTCTTTTGAGGATAAATAAACGCCCAGTCATTCTGATGTGTTCCGCGCAAGAATATAATCCTCAAGATATCCTAAAGCTAATAATAAAACGCGATCGTACAAATTATAATTATACAGGATGTCTAGCGATCAGGGAAATCTGAAAAACCGGGTATTTTATTATTTATCAGAATTTGTTCACATTATTCTACATTTGTTTCAACAATTTAACATTTTTTATTAAATAAATATAAACTTTTCCTTGACTAGCACGCTAATTTTCTGTGTTGTTAAAAATCGATTCATCTGCAGCGTGTTCGTTAATTTATATTTTCATCGTCGTGTTATTTTATTTCAATGTGTTTGATAGAGACGAAACTAAAAAATTTGATAGAATAAAAAAGGTGATTATTTAAATAGTTTATAGTGACATGTTTATTTCGATTATCGTACATAATGCAGATTGTATAATTGATTTAAATTTTGTGTTTTTTTAACTTCTGAAAAGTCAGGGAAAAATTAAATTTCTGGTCTTGGAAAATCTGAAAAAGTCAGGAAATTTTTTTCGTTAAGTCTGCTAGACACCCTGAATTATATATTCCATTGAGATTTTACATGCGTATAGGAAAATCTTGCCGAGAGAGGGTTGAAATATATTGTTTAGGAACTCGTTGTGGCAGAAACTTGTCGAGTATACAAACAGGACCTGCCTCGGTAGTTGCTTTTTATCCTGAGAATTTCTCGCGCAAAAGTATATATTCGGAAGTAAAAAGAATCCCACGGTTCGTGACAAAACTTGAAGACTTTTAACCCTTCCTTTCTCTGTTTCTCTTTTAACTTCTCACTTTGGGACCTATAAATCCGTGTCGGGCATTTCTGTTGGTCGTTTCATCCGAGAGTGAACACGCGCACGCGTGATTTATCGTTACCGATGCCTTAATGAAACTCGCGTCGTGAAGTGAGAATCAAGAGAGGCGAACGATTAGGAAGAAACGATTCCGTTTCATGACGCTGAAGAGAAGGAGAAACGCGTCGTACGCGATCCGACACTGATTACGTCGCTTGTATAAATTATCGGCTATTAAAGTCTAAGTAAAGTCGAGGGTGTACTGTTAATTGGGATATAAAATGTGCACCTAAGCGAGATGGTAATAAAAGTGCATTCGTCGCAGCAACTTGGTCGGTGATCGTCGTAATTTACATCAACTCGCTCATTATTACACGTTATATTTGTTTAGTTTCGCTGTCGTTGATCTCGAAACTCGCTTACGAAGGTCTGTTCTAAGTCTGCGAACAATACTATCTCGTGTAATCTGGCAGAATATGAGAAATAACTGTAATTCGTAATCTCACTGATGAGACGACTCTATATTTAACCTAACGCGAACAATCGCGAGTCGTTACTCGACGAAGAGATAATTTTATCCGGCGTATGAAATTCCATCCAATGGTACCGCGATACTTAATCATAATCAAGATGTAGATTAAAAGTGTCTCTCGCAACCGTGATCATTTTCCCGCGCGAACCGATTAACATCGAGATAATTGTCCAAAGCGCGAATGTATATATCGCAAAATGATATGGAGTGGATTTGTTCTGTTTAGTCCTGTAAACGTTTTACGAAGTCTCGTAAATTAAAGCGTTATTAGCGTCGATTAAGCGATTTAATGCGCGCAATTTGTAAGCCGATCGGATTATTTAATTACAGATTACAGTATGAATTGCCGAGGATTATAGAGTTAATCGGGGGATGAATTGCGCCGACGGTCAAAGAGACGCGGCAGTGATCGTCAGGGAAAACCATGAGGAGGAATCTTCCGACTCGTTCGTCGTCCGGATCGGAAGTCGGTTACGACCGGGATGTGAGAGGGCTGCGTCGTTAAGGATTCCCTGGAATGATTCCCGCGATTTCTCACGCGACGAGTCTCGCTCGCGGATTTCCAGACTCGTTTGAGTATATACGCGAGAGCGACTAGTTTGAACCCGACGATTATTAGCATACTTAATTAGCCGCGTCGGCCCACGGTCGTTTCGCGCCTTATGTGCACCCCGGTGCATCGAATGCACCCGATGACGCAGACCTATAGAGCGCGCAATAGCGTAACCATCGTGAAGTTTCCTCCGGAACTCTCCAACCGCGAGATACCATATAAGAGACCCGTCACGTATTTCCCGGTTGCGTTTGCGCGCCCGCATTCCTTTTCAGAGATAACGCCGGAGCACAAAAATTCAGACGCGGAGAAGCCTCGCGGAGAGTTGCTTTATCTTTTACGCAGCTGCAAACAAACCTCATTTAGCAATCGTACAGATGCAGCAGCCGCTGGAAACTTCCGGAATTGAATTAATTCTCGGATTTTTTTTTATAAAGTGGTTGATTATAGGGGAATCTATTATGCACATAACAGAAATATTATATGTAAAAAGAATTATCTAGTACAAATTTTATTTTTTAATTTAATTCGTTCGATATTTATTATTAAGATATAGAAAATAGTTGATGATATAGGGAAATCTATTATACGCACATAACAGAAATATTATGCAAAAAGAATGATCTAATCAAACATTATCTAATAAAAAATATTATAAATTAACTTTTAATAATTTTATACGACAAGACATTTTCGCGACAAGATTTCTTCGGATTACATTTATTCGTTCGATATTTATCATCAAGATTTGCGCGAGAAAATTGAAAACCGGCGCGAGTACGCCACTGAAAAGCCACGCAAAAGGGCCATACAACGAACCGTAGATCGAGAGAGGAGTCGAGAGAAAGAGGAACGAGATCGTGCACGAGGATGCGAGCGTGCGAGAGATTAAAACGAAAAACTTTTCTTCGCGTTCCTCGACTCTCCTTCTCCCGTTTTTTCCTCCCTGAAAGAGCGTCGCGCATTTAACCGAGGATGCTGGGGCTCCCTGCGGCGGGTTCAATGGGTGCCCGAGCGAAAGGGGAAGGTGCATATGCACACACACACATATAGATTAATGTAACATATATATGCATGTGCGTGTACGGCGTTATGTGTGAATTTCGGTGAACCTCGTCGCTCTCATTTACTTGTTGCTTCTCGCTCGGGAGGAAGAGAACGGTTCCTTAATCACAGCCATACTCATGGACCGTAACTTCCGTGTGTCAGACTAACGTAAATGGGAGATCTGAATTTCACACCTCGACTTTAAATAAATAGCTGGTTAAGCGCGCCTGTTTTATGCTAAATGTCCCGTTTGCGCGCATTTCTTCGGATGTATCGTTATTATGTTCCCTCCTGTTTTTCATTAATCATTATTATTAATGATTTTTTTATGAAATTTTGATTTAAAGGCTATGCATCTTTAAAGTAATATTTGTTCGTCGCGTAGAAAGTTCTTACTGATTTAATTATGCATTGAGAGATTTACATTAAATTATACATAAATAAAAAATTAATTATATTAAATTATAGACATAGCTTTGACAGACTCTAGAAGCTCTCAAGATTTATGTCACATCTCTGCTTCTGGAAATCTCAGAGTTTCAAGTCTTCTTCAATATCGCTTTCTCCTTTCACACGACTGATGTTAGCGGTGCTATTTTTCTTTTCTTTTTCACAGCTATACGATTTATAATCTTATGAATCAATTTCAATTAAATTATAAAATGACGCTAAGGTGAAGAATCTTCTCAATCTCGAAAATAGTGCGGAAAATCATCTTCGCGATTTAAATATTTCAGTGTTTGAACTACTTTCTTATCGATCTCAATGTTCTGCATGGATTCTCATCGTTGCATCCATCGCTTAAGTTTTGTGACAGGTCATTAACGAGGATTTTATTCTCGATCTGCACAGAATAACGAGTGCATTCTGGTTGCGAATCCAATAATTTTTTTTAGATCTTAATTATTCATCCGCGAAGCAAATGGATATCAAATTGTCGCGATAATGAGTATAAAAAGAGCGATGACAGTGCAAATAGTTTTCCGTTCTTGTGAGAAGCATATCGACAAAAGCAGAAATTTCGAAGATGACTATTATAAAGAAATGGTATGAACATTCGGGGTTCCATCGTCTATTTGACTAATGATAGAGCATACGAATTCATTCACTGAAAAAATTATTAAATTAATAAATATTGATTTCAAAACTGTCTAATAAATTATTCATTTGAAACAAATATAAATATTTTTCAAATCAATATTATTATAAGTTTCAAACAAATGATTTATTCGGCAGTATTGAAATGAATACTTCTTCGAATTTGATAAATTTGTTTTCAGTGTTCGAATTAAAAATTGTCTCGTTCTGCAATTTCTTCAATCCTAAGTAATTAAGCAACGAGCGTAAGATTTCGAACGTAATTCCGACCGGCACTCTCTCGGTACACCCTAAAAACTTGATACCAACCTTGAAGACAGCCCAGCAGGACGATCCCGAGGACGAGCGAAAGTTGACGGCGCATTCTTCCGCTAATATCTTCTGGTCTATTATCACGATGTTGCCGATGCGGCGACTTCACGAAACGATATCCCCGCGCAGGCGAGGAGTCCTTGGGCTCCAACGGATGATTATTTTATTATTGTCGAGACCGAGGTCGTACGAGAGTGGAGCAGAGATGAGCGCGAAGGTGAAGAAGAAGAAGAAAGAGAGGAAGAAAAGGAAGAAGAAAACCGCGCGAAGAAAAGGCTCGGTAGGAAGAGCGTGCGAGAAGGTCAGGAGAGGAGGAAGCGAGACCTCTTCGACCTCTATCGTCCTTCGAGGTCCACGAACGACTGAGGCGCACGAAGCGACGTCGGGCCGGCTATAGCCTCCCCTTCCTACTTTCACGTGGCGTGCTCCCGTTTCCAGTGGAGGCGCGGAACGGAGGGCCTTCTTCTCTCCATGGGCCATTTACCATTACCATCATCGGTCGACGGCGACCGTCAAAAGAAGAGGAGGGCTGCCGCCCGACCGCGAGAAGTGGGAAAGAGAAGCGTATCCCTCCTCCTTTTCATCTTCATCGCTTCTGAAGGTAACGCGTCGTCGAGTGTCGGGAAGCGCCGGGGACCGGCGTTTCTAGGCCAGCTCTTCCTCCGCCACCGTGAGACGTCCTTCTTCTGCTCCTTCCGTCGTTCTTCCTCTGCCGCGTTTCTTCATCTTCCTCCTGACCAATTTCCCCGGTAGTTCGCGTCATCGCCTTCGCGAGAGGTTCTCGTCCCACTGGCCGCGCACTGGTGCCTTGCTTGGAGGTCAAGGATACTTGGCCACGCAACTCTGACACGGATCGCGCGATCACGACGAGATCCAAAAGGGTGATCTCCCTCCAAAGAGGGAGATATGCTACCTCGACGATTTTCTGTAAGAGACTATATATCAGCGCTATACAATACTTATCACCACGACACGTGTCGCGTCCGATTTTTGGTAATTGAAGATTAAATTGGATCAGGGTGTCTAGCGGTTATGGAAATCCGGGAATTGTCAGGGAAAAGTCAAGAAATTTTACTATTCATCTGGATTTTTCACATTATTCTACATTTGTCTCAATAATTTGAAATTCTTTATTGAATAAAATATAAACTCGCTAATTTATATTTTCATCGTCGTGTTATTTTATTTCAATGTGTTCGATAGAGACGAAACTAAAAAATTTGATATAATAAAAAAGGTGATTATTTAAATAGTTTATAGCGACATGCAGTTATATATGCAAATGATATATTTGGAAAAAATAATACTAAAAAGTCAGGGAATTTTTTTCATCGAGTCTGCTGGACAATCTGATATCATATACCTGTACGATTTTTCACGGAGAAGGGAAGAAGGAGAACGAATTTGCACTGTTAATCACGCGCTGCGATACTTATTACCATGACACGGGTGTCGCGTCCGATTTTCGGTAATTGAAGACTAAATTAAGATCTGAACGTGAACGTGAGAATTAGGATTGATAAGAAGCGCGTCGGTGAGAAAGCCGTCGATAATAAGAGCGGAGTAGGTCGAGATCAAATGAACGTGCGGCGTCTAGGAGCCCGCGGATTAATTAAAAGTACATTTCGTGTCCTTCTCCCGCGACGATGAGAAGAGAAAAGATGGGGAGCGACGTGACCCGCGCGCGCGATTAATGGCTACACTTTCTAATTGAAGTGTCGTAAGAAATCGAGGGGATGTTCTTGCTAACGATAGCGACATTAGTCTCCTTTCCTACTTACACTCTAAGCGTTTGTTTTACGCGCGTGACGAATCTGCGCCGCAGATCTGACACCGCAGCTGCGCGATTGACATGTAGTTTTGTCTTTTTGCGGTCTCTTTCCCGGGAGAAATTCCGGAAGGAATTAAAGCAAAAGTAGTCTCTTTTTATCAACACGTGACTAGAAATTTAATAGTGCGGTACATTAACATCTTAAGAAAATTTAGAAGACACGTCGCCCGCGAAAATGAAAAGGACTCCAATGTATCTTATCTCCCTTTGCACGTATATATAGTATATACGTTAAGGCCATTAATAACAAATCGACAGCTGTCGAAAGCTTTTTATAAAATCGTTTAGCGACGTTTCGACGAAATCGCCCTCGTTGCACCCATTCGAAGACGGTCTAGCGCGGACGAAGGAGGGCTAAAAAACGCGACGCGAAAGTGTGACAGTGACCCGCGGGAAGAAGTTTCGCGTGTAGCAGCTGCAACCGAATCATCCCGGAGCGGTCACGAGGGCCGCGAGCGATCGTTTATCAACATCGGCTGTCAGCGCTAGTGAATCGCGAGATACTCTCACATACGCGTTTCTCTCTCTCTCTCTCTCGCGTGTTCTCCAATCTTTACCATTAACCCACTTGCGCCTTTAACGTCGATATATACTGCACGTAAGCCGGTAGCCGTACGTACGACCGATTTTCCGCGCTTTGTTTCGTCCGCGCTTTTGCGAAATCGAGAACGCGAACGGATATCAGCATAGCGGCGAATATAGTCTCGTTCGCTAGTTTCGATTCGAGGGATCTAACAATTCGTTTCAATAGAACGACGTTTCGCGTTTGCGGACGTGCGGAACGGCTCGTTTTCAATTATAAATCCGCTCTTTTGTTCGCCGGACGTGCATGGTATCTCTCGGCGCGCGATTCACGCTCTTCTTCGGTTGGCCAAAAAAAATACATCCTTTATCGCAACGAATCGATCAATCAATTTTTTTTTCTTGTCAAACCACGCGACAATTGATCCGCGCGAATTGATAAGCCGGTATCTTCTAAATCGAGATATCGCACCGGATCTGACTGTACGGCGGATGTGCGACGTGAGTCGGCGATACCTTTTGACCGGATTGAATTTGAATGGACTCATTATCTTCTTTAATAAGCGGCACTTCGTGCGCGCACTAAGCGCTCTGCCTTTCTCAGGCTGAAGCCGCTTTATACATAAGTTAACTTAGTGTGTCTCCTCTCGCACGTTCGTAGCTTTTGTTCACAACCCAATTTTGCGATCAATTTTGCGATCGACCCTCTTTTGCCGTGGTTCTCATCTCCGATTACGAGGAATAATCATTCGTTCATTAATTATTATTATTGAATACACGGTTGACAAGATTGTGTTAAACTTAGCATATATATCTCACTTGTACCAAACGGTCCGTTTTTGTGTTAATTTAACATAATATGGATACGTTAATTGGAGACACAAATACTCTGTGTTAATATTTTAGCGCAAAATAAATGCAAACTTGAAGTAATTTAAAATATATACGTGGAAAATTAACATAGAGTTTTAATGTAAAAATTTATTAAAAATATGTTAATTTTAGATTTTATCACATGCTCACTTGTATTATAAAATAAAAAAAATCAACATTTTTTCTGTAAATTTTAATAATCTTGTAACTAATAAAACCGAACATATATTTTTAAGTTCAATTAACACAACAGTAATATGTTAAATTATCACATAAATGTGTTAAATATTTAACACAAAAATTTTAACAGGGACCGTTTTTAACAAGAGAACACAAATTTTTTTACTGTGTAACAATGACTATCTCTTCGCAAGATATTTATATCTTTTTTCAGCTAAATGAATTAAGTTTAACACATGAGTCAAGACGAAAGTAGAAACGCTCTATAAATAGATTCATCTAAAAATAATTCAGACCAATTTTATTCGCGAAAATAAATAAGAGATAGCAGATTATTTATGAGAAAGACATAAAGTACGCAGAATAAATGCTAAATAAATAATATCAATATTCTTAATTTTTGAAGCTTCGTTCAAGTGTTACCAGAAACGTCAAACAATTCGTCGCGTTCGAATTGATTGCGCAAACAGCTGATGCTTCGCAGAATCCAGTCAGCTCTGAATGCATCATGCAAATCGTGCATCCTGAACGATCGAAAATATATATGAGCTTTTCTTGTTAGCGTCTCTGAGATATTCAAATAATTAGAGATAAAATTAAATAACAGCAGAATAATAAAATCGAGCGTGCGCGCGAAATATCGTAAATTTGTCGTCGCGAGAAAATGATCGAAAGTTACTTTAATTACTCCGGAGAGAACTTATTTCCGTAATCAGGATAAAGAGAAGTTTATCCAATCTCGTCGACGCGATAGAGACACAGTCTCGTTACTCGAGGAAATTTCAATTAAAAACCCGTAACCGGGATATAAAGATTCGCCCGAGTGTATTATGCTCCAATAAACGCCGACTTGATGGGTTCTGAATAATTAAGACACGATTTTGTCGATTTTGTCGACGCGATGCGCAACGCGAGAAACTCGGAATCGGACGCACTGAAAAAAAAAAGTAAATTAATAAATATTTATTTCAATACTCCCCAAATGAATCATTTATTTGAAATACATAAATATTTATTTGTTTTGAAAAGGATTTTCTTGTGTCAAATAAATATTTCTCATATCAAATCGATATTATTAGTTTCAAATAAATGATTCGTCTGGCAGTCTTGAAATAAATACTTATTCGAATTCAATCAATTTTTTTCAGTGGACGCTCGATTATTCTTATTCGTTACGATTCGTTTCTTCCCGCGAGTTTCTAATCATAAAACATATATAGCCGCACATACTTACGTTTCATACATAAGGCATTCTGATTGTGCATTTACGGTGCATTTCCGACTTTACGACGGCGCACGGCCATTAACCGATCTAATTACACACACACACACACACACACACACACACACATGCGTAGGCACATTGATAAACGGCATTTCGGATACGAGTTAGAGAATTCAAGTTGTCCGGTTGATAATAAAATAATGTCACGTTATCCCCAATCTAATACAGTCTAATCTAATTGTACCGTTAGATTAGACTCGTTAATTGAGATTAGTTTATAAATGACTGAACGAAATTTCAGATATATATGTATATATATGCGAGAATACTCACGTTTTAGCGATACGTTCGCGGAATGATCCAGTTTCTTGCCATTCAAGAGAGTCAAATTTATTTCTTTGCTCGATAACAGTGACCGATAAGCTCATTAACATTTCGACGAGGATTAAAAGAAGTTTGAGGAAAGATTAAAGTTCTTGGTGGTCCGATTAGAGCGCGATTTATTACCGCATGAGCCGGTTTCATCGACATTGCTTGACTTTACCATGGTTTAACCGTTCCCCGACATTTCTCTCTTTCTTTCTCTCGTTTTATTTTCAAAAAAGAGATAAAGAACCAAAATAGCTCGGCGCAAAAAAGAATGTTGATCGGTCGAAACGACGGTATATATATATGAAGAGAAAATTCTTTGTGTGTCGCTATATAAATCAATGCTGCATAAAAGTTATGTGTTTTTTTAAATTTTGCCTGCGCACCGTCCGGTTTTTTCGTCCGTTCTCCCTTGTTCTGTTGTTCGTGTCTCTTGAAAGAACGTACGTTGTTTTTTTCTTTTCTTTTTTTTTCGCAAAACCCGAGGGAAAATAAAACGCTCGGGTGTCGGGCAGAGGCTAACTTTTGGGCGGGGATGAGACAAATAATACAGAACGAAAAAGAATCACGGTATCGTGGTCGCCTTCGCGATTCGCGAATTTCCATGCATTGAATAAACATTTCGCCACGCGATGTTTTGAACCCGAGACATGCAGAAACACGTAAATTATATTTGGACAGCACAGGCGTCACACTGTCTGGTTTTAAAAGTCAAAATCTAGTCTCTTCGTAGGATAATTTAGGACTAGATCGTTATTGCACGAGTTTCCTTTTGTTTTAGTATGAGTTCGCGAAATCGATACGAATAAAATTTAGCAGAAAATGTAAGACTGTATTTTAAGACGAAAGCACAAAGCACTTATTGTTGTATTCGTACAGCACATTTTGCAAATGCTTCTCGTGGAAGAGTATAAATTCTATTATTTCGTTCTATTATTATCAGTCATGATATATTAAATTAAAGCATCAGTGTTTCGTTTCACCAAATGATTTAAAGCCACTCTGTTTTCCTCATTTTATAATCGAATATTATTTATATTATTTGAAAATGTTTCATCTACTTAATTCTTATTCCAATAGTTGAGCTAACTCACAATGACACATTTTCCCGTAAATATATATAAAATGAATGAGAAACGGAGAAAAAAGAGAAAATTCAATTTACAGGGTGTGCACTTCTCTCTTCTTTGACTTGAAAATTCTCGAAAATATTATTCATCGAGTGAAAGATTTTAATTGACGTCTCGGCGAAACCAGATTATCCGGAATGTGACAAACGGGCTTTTTATTTGCGAAAAAAGGATGCTCCGTGAACACACAGTGTCCAGTCGTGCGACTCGATCCCCGTCTCATTGACGTAATTACCGGTTTTTGCGGAAATACCGTGAGCGAGCGATGGTGCAAAATTTCCTTTCGCATCGAAAATGATTTCAATACGACGATCGCGGACGTCGGTGTTACACTTGTGCAACGCGCATCCGTAATTATTTGGATCGCAGGTAAGACCAATCGCAGATAATACACGCCGGCTGAAAAAAAGCGACCGCGTACACCTCGGTATGTAAAACCGCAAGACATGCGAGATCGGAGATGAACGCTCGATGTGTCGGGGATAAGTGCGAGACTGCTAGGCGTGAACTTTGAATATCCATTAGCGACAATTTCGATCGCATTGTCGAAATTCAACCTGTTCTCGCGCGTTACCAGCGTGCTCGTTCATTTATATTTCGATCGTCGTATTATTTTATTTCAATGTGTTTGATAGAGACAAAATTAAAATATTTGTATATAATATAAATGAAAAAGGTGATTGTTGAAATATAGTTTTATAGTGACATGTTTGTTTCGATTATCATACATAATGTAGATTGTATAACTGATTTAAATTTTGGTTTTAACTTCCGAACCTTTTCATTGTTGACAGAAATATCTTAATTATTTTATGATTTAGTTAACATTTAATTGATTTATCATATAGATGAATGCAAATTATATATTTGGGAAAAATTGAATTTCTGGTTTTGGAAATCTGAAAATGTTAGGAAATTTTTTCATTGAGTCTGCTGGACACCCTGAAATTCAATCTGTTATCGCGCGTTACGTCACGAGCCGATTCTGTCGTTATCGGAAATTCAGTCATCTGTTTAACATAAAACAGTTCGAACAGAAAATCTCTGTAGGAGACGCGTCCTGTTGCATCTGCAATCGCCGATTTGTTCCGCGATAATCCGACTTAATCCGTCTCAATCAGATGTGCGGAGATAATGTGCGCCAAGTGTGTGTTTTATACGTCGGAATCTCGAGAGATTGAATGTGTTTATTTTTCGTGCGTTTTTTTCTTGGAGATTTCGCGCATAGCAGGACGAAATCGTCGAAAATTCCGGTCGCCTCGTCGTCGCGTCGCGCGATTATTATCGCATCCTCTTGGCCACCCACTCGCACAGCATCAGCGGATGCAGAATGACACTTGGACACGCGGATTAAATTGCGCTCAATTTGCTTAAGACACACGGCCGTTTCAAATCTGTTTACGACTTATCGCCCGTATATCGCGCTTAAAATCAAATCCTTTGCTCTGAGGACATGGGGGAGAATTCGCGGTATAAAATATATAAAACGCTTATAGTATAAAGGACTTGACACAAATCTTTCGAAACGCTTCATCTGATTTCAAACGAAAAAATATATAATCGCGCGAATGTTTTCATGTGGCCAAAGTTTTTTTTTTTTTTACGAGAGAAGCGGGGATATCGATGAAACGATAATACCGCAGAAATATCACATTTATACCCGTGTGTTGTGGTGCGGCTGCGTATATAATTTGCATGTTTTGCCGATCGCTCGCCTGCGGCTCGATACTTGGAGAAGCCGCTCTCACCGTGTGCCTGATCTACTTAATACATTATTTTCCTCCGCATTATCATCTCTTTATTCGGCTCAATAATATCGATCAATCTAGACCAGATTTTTCTCACATCAGTTTTCGCATTGCTCCAACAGAGTAGACCTTATTGTATCTATTACATACTTTTATCGAGGATGCATTACTTCGCAGAAAATCGAATCTACAACCGAGAAATATCTTTTACACGCATGATTTACACACAATGCTTTGTTTTTACTAGCAAGTTGGTGCGCTTTAGCAGCTGGTCAAATTGAAATATTTATATACTAGTTAGAGAGAAAAAAACAGTATTCAGATATTCAATTTTGATATCACACCGCAAACCGCGATTCATATTATTTATTTATTTTTGAATTAGAGAAAGAAGCAGTGTTCAGATATTCAATTTTGATATCACATCGCAAACCGATTCATATTATTTATTTATTTTTGAAGGGAGGGAATCTCGCAGAGAATATAGAGAGATTTTCTACATAATTTTCTCTCGACGAAAAAAGGCACGGAACATTTTTATTTTCGCGTGTAATATGCTAGATACATATCGGGGCTGTATAAAATTTCTCGGTTAACGTAGGAATTTGTGCAAAAACGGCGCATATGGCTGAAATTAGCGACGACACCGTCGCGAATATGTGCACAGTCATCAGTCTGCAATCACGCGCATCAACGAATGCAAGAGACGATCAAGTGCCAGCTCTCTCGCGATGCGCGCACAAATCAGCGAGATTCTGCATCGAGACTTTTACACCTAGTCTGCCGAGAACTCGGTCGCCACTTCGACATTCGAATGGCAAACGCTTTTGGCAAACGCCAGAGAGAAGAGTACGCATCCCTCTTTTTTCCTAATTATTTACTCGAGCCTCCTTTGCCGGACACGAGAGCGAAAAACGAGACATTACATTCAATTGCTCTTCAGCAATCAACTTTCAATGTATCAACGTATCCTATCGAGAGAATGTCGCGTTTCGAATTCGAGAGATTTCACTGTGAGCGGGATTTTGTTAATTGAGATTTATTTGCTTTATATTTTTTTTTACTTTACAGTTTAAATGATCTTGACAATTTTATTCTTCTTTTATTAACATCATAGATGGGAGAGCTGATTTTTAAAAGATGTATATTTTTTATTTAATATAAGAGACGTAAGAACATAAATTCCTTTAATGAAAGTAGAAAATATAGTGTTGTTAATATAGTATTTTGGTTTATTAATTACAATCATTATTATTAATACATTAGAGAAATATAATAATTATATTATGTTTAATAATGATTGTAATTAATAAGCAAATAGATGTAATTATTTAACATGTAAATTAACTATCCGAACACAATATTACAATTGCAATTTTCGGTCGTACAACTCATCACAGCAGAAATAATGTTTGCCAACGATGGATAAACTAGATGTCGGAGAGTTTAATTTATCAATACAGGTATCTCACACACAGGCGACATCTCGAGATTATTTCACTTCAGTGTTAGCCTCGCAAATTGATCAATAAAATAAATAAGAACTTACAATAATGTAAATCTTTATTAAGTATACATTTATTCATCATTCAAAATTATCAAGTGATTTTTTATTTTACATTAATTCTTTAAATTACGTGCATAAATAAATATATCGGCACTTCGGTACTAGAAAATTCGGAGCAAAGATCGAAGAGTAGTAGAAGAATAAAAAAATGGGGATAAATTTAAAAAGTGAATGACAATCCAGATTTCTCTCGACGAGACAATTTTCGCGTAATGCGAGAAATTCCCTAGGAAATCTCGCATCCCTCCACTTGTCGCTCCATCTGCAGTCCCCTCGACATCCTTCCCCCTACATGCGTTGTCGTTCCGGACGTGGAGTATCACGGTTTTATCGGAGGCTGCGTGAACGGCTTCCCGCGAAAATGTGGTGAGTCGATTTTCCGAACGGAGCCTCGCGATCGGCCGGCGATCAGCTGATCGGGACCGGCGGGCCCGGCTTGTTTACAAACACCGTAGCGCACCTAACCTCCAATCTTTGACACATAACCTGTCAAAGTTTGACGTGGCATGTGCATGTCATCGGAATCGTTTATTATGAGTGGATTAATCGCGAACGTTTCATCGAGATCTTACGACTCGAAAGTATCAACTCTAATCGCCTGTTTTTCTTCCTTACAGATGCACTCCGTGGGCAATGGCACGATGGTCAACAGTGCTATCCGGAGTGTTCTTGGCTCTCTGCATGGTTCTCTCCCTGGGGAAGCTGTTGTTGCTCGCCGCAGGGACCGGAAGTAATGGAGAACTCACGGAGGCGGACCAGTGGCTCGCCGAGATCGGCCTCGCCAAATATCGTCCGCTCTTTAGGAAAAAAGGTAAGTGGTAGCATAGTTATCACTTTCGATGGAAATCCGCAGGATGCCGCGAATGACATCTCGATTATCAGGAAGCTTTACAGCATCATTAGGCATATTTTCAGAAAGAGATTTATCAATTCTTTGCTTCTCATGAGAGACGAAAGTTAATTACCATATTTTTTATGCGCGAAATAATGTATCTAGATTAATTACAGAAAAAATGTAACTGAAAAAATTATTAAGCAATTATTAAGTAAAAATATTTCATTAATAATTTTATTAATAATTACATTGCGTATTAACTGTATTTAAAAATCTGCAGAAAATAATTCCTGACATTCGAGATTTTCTTTTACTTATTTTTAAACTTAAAGTAGGTGCCAGTTAATATATTGGAGTAATATGTAATGCCCTGAAATAGAGCGTATGTTAATTTAGAATCGTATCGATAAATTGCGCAAAAATGTATAATTGCTGCTCTCGCGTATTGCTGCAAATTATGCGTAGGTCGATTACATCTTTGTATTATTGAAGGATATACGTGTACACGCTTGACACAGATTATGTATATTAGAGTGCAACAATTTATTTTTTTTTTTGTCAACGACTGACGACTCTCTGCGTCGCGTAATTTACCATTTATTCGTCGCCATTGTACAACAAGTAGTGCAATAATGTCACACGTCACATTCAGATTGAATAATTTAACTCTAACACGCGCGAATTTCTCTGCAGAATTTTATTAATTATTTATGTAAGGCCTTACACGCAAACACAAATTTGTATAGTAATATAAGACGCATGAAGAGATTGCATTATACATTATTATGGTATATCATGTAATTCACGTTGAAGGATGGCACGTAAATCCTGATGATAATATAGCACATACATGCACATTATCCACCGCTATTGATTATACGTTATCTTCGTTTAATATCTGACAGTAAGTCCTTTGTAAATCTTGAAAAAAATTCTTTAGAAAAAATGTAATTCCCGGAAGTACAAAAAATTAATATCTCTTTCAAACTATTGTGTCTAGAAAGAAGCGTCTCGTATAAAAGTTAGAGAACTTTAAGCGTGGCATTTTATAGGTGTAAGAATATCGCTTTTAAAGAATTTCTTTGTTAAATATTTTTTCTGCTAATTATATATTTAAAACGAGATAACTAATTAAGAAGAATTTCATATTAATCATATTATTTTCGCGTAAAAGAGTATAAATGATAACGGACATTTATTATCACGATCAGAAAGCTCGGTGTCATTATCGAAAGTTTTGTGTGTGACGTAAAGATTTATCGTTTGGCACAAAGTCAATTCTGCGGACAATCCGGATATTCCGGATACTATCGATTACCCGTAAATTGGATCTGCCTTTACAATGAGCCATAGCTGCTTCTCTCAAAGGAGATCCGACATGTAATATAGAACTCCGTAATGTAGATATATATTCGAAGGAGATGAGAGAGAGATTCTGAGAGAATGAATTTTAAACCTGTACATTTACAGGGAGCATTTGCATCGCTTTTTCGGCCGCTTTCGATTCACTAAAATTCAAGCTTCAAGTTTATGTATAGAAAAGGAAATTATGAATACAAATAATTTTAAGATGAAAAATCAACATGTAATCATATGTTCATCGCGAATGTTACAATAATGAACTGATCATCAGGTGCAACAATAGTTATCTCATGGAAAGATTAATTTTGTATACATAATTGAAAATTTTCCACGGAAATTTTTGTGTTAATTTTTTGGCACAAAATAAATGCAAAATTTCAAGTAATTTAAAATATATTTTGTGTAAAATTAACATAGATTTAATTTAAAAATTGCTTAAAAAATATGTTAATGTTTTAGATTTTATCATGCTCACTTGTGAAATAAAATAGATGCATATTGTGTTAATTTTACTTGAATTAACACATGAAATATTTAACATAAAAATTGTAACGGAGACCGTTTTTAACCAGAATAAAGAATACTTGAGGGTTCATATCGGGAAGAAGTGTCGTTCGCTGAAAAAGAGAAGAAAATCTGTTACTGTCGCAACAAAATCTCTCGCTCGCTTCTCTCGATATCGTAAGAGTTATTCTTTCCTGCGACCCCTTTCCCTACGAAGATTTCCAGCATATCGACGATATCCGACTATATTGCCAAAGTTCGCGAGTGGCTGTTAGGCGAGGAAGAGGCGCATTCGCGATTCATTAATCTCGGGGGCTACATCTTGCCAGCTCCGAGAATTAATCGCCACGCATCAGCGACGATATACGGATCATCGTCGAGACGTTCTCGTTTTTCCCTGCAGCCTTCCACGCTCTATCTTTCGTGTCCGGAAGGAGCGCACTGATAAAGCGATAAATCAACAGCGTTGCCCGATCCTTTATCGTTTTGGCTGCCAAGAATATCGGCTCTCTCTCTCTCTCTCTCTCTCTCTCTCTCTCTCGTGCGAGCTTTTACAACGTGTATATATATCTATATCTCGTTATCGACGGTTTACAAAGGGACGTGTTCGTTCAACCGCAACGTTTTCAATACTGTTCCATCTTGGCGTTGAGTCGACACGTGCGATTTCTTTCGTCATTTGTCGAAAAATTATTGTTGAGCAAACGACGCGGAGGAAGGTCGCCCTTGATTCCTTAATCCTTTCCTAGGAAAATAACGATGCATCAGTTGTTGACGCACGCGGAAAAAAAATTAGCTATCATAGCTCAATTTTAGCTGCATCAACACTGAAAACAAAATTTATTTCATTCGAGTAAGTATTTATTTCAATACTGCCCAACGAATCATTTATTTGAAACTAATGGAATTTATTTGATATGAAAAATATTTATTTGTTTCAAAATAAATGATTTATTTGGCAGTATTCAATTAAATATGTATTAATTTAGTCATGCATATATTACAACCTGAAATTTAATTGCCATGCCTAAATTTTAGCTATAGTAACTAATATTTTTTAGCCATAGTTAACGGAGAATGTTATATTAACTGTCATAGCTAAAATTTAGCTATGGTGGCTAATTTGTTTTCCGTGCATAATCCAGCGAATTAATCTGTCGCGGAGACGATAATCGCGAGACGAAGAGAAAAGAAAAATTTCATTCGAAATACATTTACTCGATACGTATATAAAACAATTTTTTTAGCGTGCGGAAAGGAAACTATATCGTAACATATATCGACATATATTGTCCGTGTCGATGATTTAGTGCCAGTTATTATTACTATCGAGAGAAACTGCATGGCTACACTAAAACGTACCGTCCACTAACCGATAAACGCCATTCGCCTAATGGTTCTCTCTCTCTTTCTCTTTCTCTCGATAACCGATAATGGATGTTGCGCCAAATTAATCGACGCGATACTGTCGTCGGATGAAAGCGAAAAATATATACGCTTTGCGCGAAATTCCAACTATTAACGTGTAATATCCCGCGCGAATAGAGATATCGGTTATAGTTCGCCTTGTAATTTAAGCTATAGCTGTTCTTGACATGTGTATATAGACATAGTTAAATGGCTAAAGTTATCGATAACAAAGGGTTTAACTAGGTACGAGGGTCGTTTGTTCACTCGTCTCTCCCTCTCTGTTTCCTTATAATTCGACAAACATTTCTCGAGTATATTAGTTGTTATCAGAGCTTCTCTACTCGTGTTCTCGCGTTTGGCGTCTTATTAAAGCCTGAAATACTCTCGAGAGATCCCTTCGGTTGGCCGCGAAGCGGAAGAAATCTAGAGCTAAAATCGTGTATAGATTCTCTGGTTAGCGAGTGACGGAATAGCGGAATGGCGACGAAGCCTTGAAAATGAATAATGAATGATACACGCGGCATTCGGATCCGCGCATCGATCCCGAGCACAAACCGGGGAGTGGATGTCGTCGGACATGCACGACTATTCATTTCGACCGCTTTCAGCAATCGATGGCAGAGAAGGTGTGTTTACAGGCTCCTCGGACGCGTTCATTCAAGCGGATAGCTCGATTTGCGGGAACGAGAAAATTCGAGGGAAATCGAAAAACTTTTCGAAAGCCAATTACCGCGCTAATTTAATCGTCGTGCTCGAGTTCGGAGTTAAAAGTCAAAAGGACATGTTCATTCTGTATGCTAATGCACCGAGAAAAATTAATAATTCTGTCCTGTTATAGGGGAAAAAAATTGAAAATTACCTGCCTGTAATCTGGCTATCAAATAGCTTTTCAATTAAGCTCGAGTGATTAGCATGAACGTCGAAACAGCGGTTTGCGTTGCAATAACTACGTCGAGACAATCGGACATTTGTATGCCGTTTATGTCAGACATTTATATGCTGATGTAACGTCGCCGTCGCGTCGTCGAAAATTATTATTTGCATCATTCGTCGGTGAGGAACTTTATTTTTCATTAATAGATACATCATTTTTTTCGTCGCTACTTGACGAGGGAGAAAACAGGTTGTGTTAATTATCGGCAAAAATACAAGTCCAATTTTTAGCGGCGAATTGGTCCGATACCAATATCTCGCAATCTGCTCGGGTAACGTTCGTTCCTTTAGGCTGCTCCTACACTATATATATAGTATGCGACGTCGAAACCATACGTTTTTATCGACCTCGATGAAATTACGGTCTCCGTCGTTTTCCGGACGCGAAATGTCAGCGGAATTACTAGTCTCTCTCTCTCGGACTCGTCGAAGCGCGGACATGCTGCAATCAGGTTATTTCGAAGTCTCGATATTAAAATGAAAATTGTCGGAAAGTTGGAATCGTGGGAGAAAATCTCGAGAGAGATTTAAAGAAAACCAAAATGAGAATTAACAGGATATCCACAATTTTCATATCCCTTTTATTTCAGTTATGATAATTTCACGTTTTGCTCAAAATATTATTAAGTTTATAAATATATACATATGATTTTTGACATGTTTACCTATATTTATATTTATTTATTTAGTCTTATTAGAATGATAAGCCTTTTTCTATATTTTAAATGTATTTTACCTCTCATCTCTTTCTCTCTGATATTTTCTAA